CCGTTCCCAACTTTGCTAAGCACATGGTTATTACGATTCACTTTAGATGTAAAATCCATTGATCTGATTCTATGCAGCTGGTTCCAACCGTGAGAAGTGGCTGAACACATCACAGAGACTGGACAGGTAGAATGGACTCAAACTAGTAGGTTTGCCAAATGTTGTCTGTTGTCAAAAAGAGGATACAAGAGGCTGTTGAAATTAATGGATAAGGGATTGCGCTGAATGTGAGGTTACGGTGGTAGAAGGTGAGTATGAATTATTTCGGCTTAATTAAAAGATTTAAGGGGAGGGTGTTAAGCCGTCATTTAAAAGAAGACAATTTAATCTGCCAGCCCAGTTATAGTTCTTACCTTACTCACACTCGTCCAACAGGCATATTAAGCTCATCACCAAAATCAGACGTACGAATTCACGCAATTTGATGTCATGTCTTCCTTGGGCTATTAAACCTTAATGACCTTAAACAGATAGGTTATGACGAATGATTTCGTAGCCTGACTTAAACGTTTACGAGCTTATATCTCATCTCAACCATAGATGCTTACGGACTCAGTTTCAGACAGGATTTTTTCTTGGGTTATTAATCGTTGATGTCCAGAGTCTGACATTAGGTTTTGTTCATCACTCTAATTTAGGATCTATATTCAGTATGGACGTTGACACACACACACACACACATAAGTAAACCTATCATGACCAAGGGGATTAGATAAATCATCATTATCTATCTATGTCTATATATTTTAGTTTTTTATTTATGAGTATATATAAGACATGATAGAGCCGGACAGTTTTCCTGACAGTGTTAACTTGAGACTTACAGGAATAAGTTACAACTTTAATGATATCCACCATGTAATGAATGAAAGCTCAGTCTGCTTTCAGCTGAAGCGACTGTCTTGTGGACTGTGTTAATCGGCTACATTAGAACGGAAATCAGCCGTCGTCTTCTGTTGAGATAAACCTAGGAGTCTCTTAGAGTTGATTAGACTTCGTCTTCTCAACTTGGTCGGAGCGCCAGAGAGACCTTGTAAGACGTACCTAGCCCTGTGTCATCCGTCACAGTATTCGTGATGTCCAGCATCAGTACATTTCCAAACGTATCACCGACATCGTCAGTGAGAGGTAGTTGAATGGGAAATTGGTCAAGAGGATTGTCTTCATTTTTCACTTTGACAAGTTGTAACTGTGATAACGATGGCGCTTCTCACTGACGATGCTGACTACGGTGTTGGGGAAACGTTTGGAAATGCACCAAATCAATGGCCCGATGCCGGAATTCACGAATACTATGGCATAAGGCACAGGATCAGGTACGTTCCACGAGGTATCTCTGACGCTCTGATCAAGTTGCGAAAACAAGATCGAACCAACACTATAAAGCTAAAGGAGACTGCGGCCAAATAGAAGGCCACGCCATCTTGGTCTTCATATTTGCTACGAATCTCTTCTTTATTCACTTTCATAAGTAATGATAGACTCCACAACATTGTTACCTCAGGAGATTTTTGGTAACCCAGTTACTCTTCGTATCTACAATCCCATTTACTGAAATACCTGAAATTCCTTTATTCTATCCTGTTTTGTAGATATATTAAAAATTCTTGGGCCTACTCCCATATCAGAGCATACCTTTTACCCGACTTACGTTTTGCTCCTTAGCAGCATCTTTTAGCTCCCTGCATTTATCCATTTATCGTGATTATACTGAATCCATTAATAAGCCAGGTAACATATCTGATGGTTCTCTTGGCCTTTAGCCTGTCTTGGAGGCTCCTCTCTGCCCGATCCGATCGGTCCGCACCAATCAGGACTTGGCTGTCGGTCCGACAAGCCTGGCCAACAGCCGACGCAGCCGAGTCCCACCTCAAAATTCGCCTCACAACCAAGTCGCCACGCTGGCGCCCCTCTGCTCTGTCTTTCGGCCGGCGCTTGCTCTGCCCTCAGCCCTGCCTCGGCCCGTCCGGCGCCCTTCAGACTGACGCCTCAATTGGCCGGCCTCGTGTTGCCCCCCGGGGGCCCGGCAGCCGTCGGTGGGGGACCTCTGGCTGGTGCCCTCGTCACCGGTGGAATGGCAGTGACGCGGCGACGACACCAAGTGGCTGGCTTGATGCGAACGCTTGTTAGAGACGATTTTGTCTTATGGCACCGTGGACGTCAGTCTGCAGGGCTTGCCGAGCTGCTCAGATTGCTGCATTCTGACACTGTTGCAAGTAAGAGCATCCTTCCACTTTTTGTGTAACCCTGCCTTGTTAAGATAAATTGTCTACTGTTGTTATCTTCTATGCTCTGATTTTATGATCTTTTGCCTGTCTCTTGTCCGACGCATTCGACGTAAAAGATGTCCTTTAATAAATGGTTATGATCTGACACGACTTTGGGAAATTAGTCTCGGCTCAACAAATCCAGAATATTTGTAAATAAAGAGTTCCTTACTGATAGCATTTCATTCGATAATTCATTTCATATGAAAAGTTGGATCGAAGGTATTCGCAAATCGGTGTCGCCGACAATCGGAGTTTTGAATGCTGATTTGTACGACTAACTACTCAACGCACCGTCCTGTGACCCTGATTAATCCGTGCTTCTTTGGCGAATCTTGCCTGACATAAAGTCAGAGTATAATAGCGTTATTCATCCGACTTCGTTTAAGGTGATGAAAGACTAGTCGTTAAATTTTCCCACAGCTATATGACAAGTCCTCATGCTTTATTAACCTTCACATGATATGAGAAAGGCCAAAACTTCCCTGAAATTCTCGTCTGCCCTGTTACCTAAGGGCATCTGTGGTAGGATGGCCTAGTGGATAGTCTATCGAGACCATAAGCTGTACTACCACAATCCAAGTTCGAGTCTTGTTGGAGGCACTGACGAGGCTCAGGCGAGGTCGAAATTGCAGTTCAACCCATCCTGAATGAAAATAACTATTGTGGAGTTAAATGGAAGCATAAGATCTACTGATATCATTGTGAAAAAATTTAATTACTAGTCCTTTTTTCATCTTAAACGAAATAGGATGAATACTTTTTATTTATATAATCTAGTGAGTCTCGAAAAGAAGGCTAAAGCGCATCAATATTTATAAATTTGTATCCACTGCTTTGGGTCATTTACATAATCTGCTTTCTTGTTCAGAGATCCTTTCTTTACTCAAGGCGACCCATAGCGCCTCAGCTTCACTATTTTGCCATTTTATGCTAGTTTCGGACACTACCTGCCCCAAATTAAGCCTGATTCACATGATAAACAAGCTATGACTATAGTGCTACTACCACTTCTGAGTTAAATTAGCTATTACACTTTGGCTCACTGATTAAGGTCTGACGCGCTCCCAGATAGACAGAATCAGATTATGTCGATTAATTGTTCTCTTTTTTATGCACACTTAAAAACCCAGTTATTATTCATATCTAAACTTAAAAACGACACTTGAACGACTTATTCTCAATCCTCATATCATCATAATGGTGTTAGGCGTTGTAACTTCTATTCTCCAAACTTTTTATCGACTTGATACTGCTATATTTTGCCTTTAGACGAGTTTTATTACATGTACTCTGCTTTTAGCCCTGTTTATATGTGCGGATTTAATATGCGTTTTACAGATACCTTGTCATGGGCACATATCTCTTACTAGATAACTTTCGTTTCGCATAGTTCACATAAACGCGCATAATCATAAGCAAACAGGAATGAGCTTTAAAATAGTCCATTTGTTCACGAACCATGCTTACTATTTTTCTTATTGGATTTTTTTATATACTCTTGTAACCCGAGTTTCGAAAATTCTCTTAGGACTCCATTATTAGAGCTATCTAACTTCCCACGACAACGATGCAGGAATAGCTTTATAGACCAGCTTATTAGTCACCAATACGCCATTCTCCGATCCCAGTCGATTCGCGGCCAATTTTCCCATCTGCAAATCATTTTCACTACGCCGGTCTTTCTTTGTTTCATTTTTCCTTCACTTTTCTACATTTGATTGGCAAGGCTTTTCCTTTTTTACCTAAAATAAGTAAGGAACCTGAAATTCCTTGTAAAATCATCGTGAATCGGCTGTTATTTTATGGTAAAATCAACCTAGGAATCCTTTCATCTGATGCTTTCACGTGAGATAAAAGTAGCCGCAGGAATTTTATCTCTGGAAGTTTATAGAAACCCTGTATTTTGATACATTTATCTGCTTATTCTCCTATTTCTCACTTAGTTTTTTTTTATTTCTCCCTCAGATGCCATCATTTGTCTAGGCTATTCTTACTATAAATGTTTTTTGACTTTGTTTTCGCAACTCGGTCATATTGGTAGGAAGACTTAGAGGAACGCACCTTGTCCGGAGTACATTGTAT